GCGCACCCACACACACACACACACACACACACACACACACACACACACACACACACACACACACACACGGTTCTGTTTTGTTTGCACACAGTTTTATATGAATCGGGATTTCACGTCTGTTCCACAGTGTGTTAGCACCCTCTCTTGGTGAAGGTTTGAGACAACAGGCAGTTGACAACAGACTAGAAACGTGTCTGTAACGTGTAACGTGCGGGTGTCGGCTGGATAAAAAAGAGGCGCTGTCCACGTCTGTCTGATCATAGATGGTATTGCAAGCAAGAAACATCACAGGCTCCTACCGTCATAAACCCTTAAATGTAACATTTAAAATGCTACATGTAGAATGAATACAGTACCAAATCGCTCACTATAGGCGACGAGCTGTCTAATTTTCATGGTCTCTGGTTTTGGAAAACAAATTATCCCCCCAAAAAACAAGTCTAATTTTTTTACTGCACTGACTTAGAAGGAAGTAAAATGTGCCAAAAAGTGAGATCAATCTGTAATACATGAAGTTATAGTCACAAATGAAAATCCGAAATCGACTGAATCCGCCATAACCAAACGGCGAAGGAGCGAGGGAACACGTTACACTGAATGTATTGGTCAAGCACAGTAAGGTTAAGGAGCTTTGTTCTGGGCACTCATTCACTCACTCACTCACTCACAGACGTGCCCACGATGTCATGACTTCTTTTGACCATCTTTTTCTCTGCACTCACCATCTGTAGCAGCCCCCAGTGGCTTCCAGTGTTAAGTCAATTCGTGTTTCTCCGGCAAGGGGCAGCAGCAGTTTGAGCATAATAATCTTGGAGCAGCCACAGTTTTGAAAGACGCCTATTAATGACAGCAAAAGAACCGCCGACTGCATTTTCGCTCAATGTGAATTGTTGGTAGCCAAACTACAGTGAATAGAAACCGCAACAAACTTGATTTGCCTCACGAAAATGTATCGTGGCGTGGTAGTGTTTTTCCGTCAAGCGAACAAACGTACTGGTCGACAGAAAAAAAGTGCACAGGAAGCGAAGCTAATAGAAGCCGAGAACCCGCCAGTTGCAATAATTGACCCGTTGTACCTGCGTCACGTGATCACGTGATGGTGCCACCACAGACCGCGCAAATTAATGACTGCCGAATAGAAGTGCACGGGGGAAATAAATACGGAACGATTTAGCGCTATTACCGGATTTGATGGCATGCGGGCAGTGATAAAATGCCACTTGTCACGAAGAATGATGCATGTTCTTAAAGGATCACTCACATTTCAAGTCAAGTCAAGTCAAGTACAATTTTATTGTCAAATGTGCTGTACAGCACAGATTAAATTTCCTCCCTCTTAAACAGACAACATACAACAAGAGGAGCCGCTGCGGGTGCCCGCGCCGCCATCAAAAGAAAGAAAGAAAAGTTCACATAAAATGACAAAATAATTCAAAACAACACATTGGAGAGAGACAATCGTGCAATCTTAACCACTTTTCCTGCATTCACTTTGTTGTCTGAAGCAGTTATAGATGAAAGAGGAGCGAATCAGTGTCCTTTTCACAAGTGGATCAAAGACACCGTGCTGAAATGTGCACACGTCTGCTACAAGCTATGCTTGAAAGCAACAAGAAGCTGTAGCATCCATTAACGAAAAAGAGATTGGCTCTCTTCTCCTGTCCCATGTAAATCCGCTTCAATTCCTCGCCGCGACTCCCAGTTCCACATACGCATCGGTGCTCTCCGCTGATGCTCCTTCTCATTGTCGGCTCCTCAAGCCATGCATCCATCCAGCCACAGACTGTCCATCAGCACCGACCTTTTCGCTGAACAAAGCGGGGCTGTGAAAATGCTGCCTATTTCAGGCGCAAGACACAAGCACCCCGGAGCTGTCCAGCAACGACAGTCAAATGGCGCCGACATTCTTCCCAATCAAAATCAGTGCTGGTACACGTGTGCCGCCGAGAAGGCGCAACCACCAAGCACAGATTCTTCTTATTTGACGAATGTCGTGGCCAAAAATGCTGAAAACAGTCCAAATCAGGTCCACACGACGTAACAACAACACCATGTGACAAACAAAAGACAAAAACAACAAAAAACAACAAAAAACGCAAAGCTCTTGAAGAGCACTTGCCAACGGCTGCCTACTCAAGCGCCCAAAAAAATAAATAAATAAATAAAATTGCTATGCATCTATCATTCTACTACCTTGTAATAACTCCGGTTGCTGCATTTTCAATTCGATTTTTTGCAGCACTTGAAAATATGTTAGAAAACGAAATCCTGGGCATTTTCCACCCAAATGTATCTTGGAAACCTAAGAAAAGGACTTTTTTAAAGTGTTGCATTGAACCTTTACATGTATAAAAGAGAAGCATACACACTTGAAAAACACAACTTGTATTTTTAGGGGCTAAATCAGTATTTAAGTTGGAACAACTTTAAAATATAAGTTATCGACATTTAGGGTAACAATGATGTTTGTTATCACAACAAAGCAAACAAGTTGTTTGCTCGAAAAAAATTTGCAGAGTTTTTGTTACTTATATCTTGAAATCACAGGAAAATACAAGGGAGTAGGGACTGTTCTATGAACTCGTTTCTTTGTTGAAAATGGGCGAAAGCAAAAATTAAACAATTTTGTTGAATTGCCCAACTTAAAATTTCATTGAATATTGTTGCCTTGAAATTTGGAGTTCACACAAATTTTATTCATCTACTGTTATTTTTTACAGTGCACGACAAGTAGGCCTCACGTTAAAGATGAGATCGTAACCTTTTTCACAAATATTCTCACTGACCACAAGTTATCAACAATGTTGACTGTGTTTACAACATTGTCAAACCAAGTTCTGTTTCTGGACGCTGCAGACCCCAACTCAAAGTCTGTCTGTCTGTTCAATATAGCCTTAGATGCAACACCAAAGTGTTGCCAAATTCTAATTATCCATCTTGAGTTCAGTGTACCATTAGCTCATCCACTTTAAAGTCACTGCACTTGTGCGCCACCCATTTTGTGGTTTTCGCTTCTTTAAAGATGTGCACATTAATGAGTGGACACACTGCGGATGTGAAATGTTTTGCCTCATTTTCCTTTGCCAGTCGTGACATAAGCTTTTGTATGAGTCAGATTACGATTAGTAAAATAAATAAATCAATTTTTTAAAAAACAGCCCATCTCCATCAAGTATAGAGTTCCAACAGGTTGCATAATTATTGTAAATAAGTGGAACGATCTACACACACACACAAGACATGATGACACTGCGGAATGAATTTGTTTAGATTAAAAGAATTGAAATCCTTCCCAAGCACAGGGATGACAGTGAGGAATGACAATGAGAGAGTGTTTCATTTATTTTGACAATGTGGCTGTATTTAAGCATCACATTTCATTACTTCACAGCACAATTAGTGATGTACGGATAGGATGACATCGCGGATGATGTTTAAAAAAAATACCTGGATGTGGCATCATATGGCATAATGTCATCACTTCAGATGCTGGCTCGAGTGTGGAAAACTGCCTGTTTAGCGTCATGCACCTTCAAAAACTACTGAAGATGACAGTGTCACAGATGGCATAAGTCACTTTGTAAAGACACCAGTCGGGGGAAAACGAAATACTGTGTTCATCCAATGATGCCACCTCACCATTCCCTTCATGAAAATCTTGCTCGATGATATCATTCAGAAAAGACTGCCGCTTTCCAAGATTTTCCTCATCTGGCATGCATGAACAGCGCGGTTCTTCCGGCAAAGGTATTCACTTGGCTGCCTTACTTGAGTCGGCGCACACAAATGGGTGCACTCTGCCATTGCACTAATTACTTACTTAAGGTCTAACTGCAGGATCAATTTCTGCTTTACTTTGGGATGTCTACACCTTAAGGTTCAGCTCGGTTCAAGGCAAGGTAAGATCGGACAGAATAGAGCCTGTTGCAATCCAGTGAAGTCCGCCGTGACCTCCAGGAAAGCTCTTGTGTGAAATAAAAGGTAAAGAAGCAAATATAAAAATGTATTTTTTTAAATGTATGTATTTTTTTAACAATCAACGTCAATAGAATATGGCATTTCTATTGGCCACTTTAGACAAACCTGTGGTATTTAGAGAGCTGGCATGTGATAGCACTTTGGTAGGCTTGCCATTTAATTGCAACCTGAAGAACACTACAAGAAACAGCTGGGCAGTAATTTTGTTATCACATACATATGGTTCTTCATTTCCTGTGGTGACGACGCCAGCCCTCCAGCAGAGCAACACGCGGTCTTCACTGATTTCTGCAATCGTCACTATATGTTCTGGACTGTGTAAAATATGTCAACATTAACTGATCATAGGACTGTTCAAGCGCAAGTGTGTGAATAGAAATAGAGCAGCAAAGTTTACAGTAAAGCACATATATCAAGAAAGAATAAATCCCTTTGGTAAATGGTAAAATGTGCAAAGTTTATTGAGGACAACAGCGTCCCATTCAAGGTATCGTAAACTTATTTTGTAACTTTCAGCAGTAAAAAGTTTATATTCTGTCTTTAATGAATATATTTTATTTTCATGTAATTTTCCATGAATGGCTAGACAAAAAAAAAGTCCAAAATGTAAATCTGTAATCTGCATCATCATCCAACTGTGGAAAAACAACAGTTCATGTCATCCATCCATTCTTTTTAATTTTCTGATCCGCTTCTCCCCAAAATAATAATGCTATACTCATTCCAATTGTCAGTCTATGTTAACGCTTTACCACAACCACGCATGGTTTAACAACATACATGGATGAGATTCATTCATTCATTCATTTTGGCATTTATTAAAAAGAAAATAAAATCACATGACCCAAGCAGTCACTTCTTGGTTGAAAAGTAGGACAGGAGCAGGAAAGAAGGGACCTCCAGTCCCTTTCTGTTACACGTTAAGGGTGAGGCAGTCTGTCACTCAGTGCGTTGTTGGTATCTTGCATTGATCATCAGGAGTCCGCATTGTTAGCACCCCCCTCACCCTGCCTCCCACATTTCGCTCACTGAGTCAAAGGGACACCCTCGGCCCGAGGGCAGGGGTGTCAAACTCATTTCACATTGTGGGCCACATACGGCCTCGGTAGATGTAAAGTGGGCCGGACAATTAAAATTATACCATACTCTGCTATAAATAACCCAAATAATGTCTTTCCTTTGTTTTGGTCAAAAGAAGCACAAGAACATTAGGAAAATGTTGAAAGTTAAAAAACAGATATTTTACAAAACATTTCATGAAGCTCTTGAGACAAATGTGCAATTTACTTTTATCATTCACATATATGCATTGCAACTGATCCTACTGATTGTACAAAGGCACAAAACTTTAATTGATATTGTAATTGGTATTGAAAAAAATAGTAATGCATTTTAAGATTAAACGGAATTTATAAAGAAAGGAATTTTTAAACCATTTACACGTGCATATAAAATCTAAATGTAATCCTTGCCTACACCTTACAAACTCAGGAGAGTGCTATTAAATGTGTAAAGAATAAAGTACTGTATTCACATGTCCTTGATAGCGTCTGCTGTGTTGGTTCTGTCTCAGTGACAGACTGAGGCTGCTGTTGTCTTATTCTCTGATCAAAACAATGTTGTCCTTTTCTCTGATCAAATCAGTGTGTCCCCCTAGCGGATACTCCATGAATTGCACCTTATTAAAAACATTCATTCCGTCTCTTTTGTACATTTTTTCACTTTTAAATTATCCTGCGGGCCTCATCGAACCTCCTTGCGGGCCGATTCCGGCCCGCAGGCCGTATGTTTGACACCCCTGCCCTAGGGTGTCCCTAGGGCCTAGCAGTATTTCCAGCAGTATTAGCAGTATTTTACAAAATTTGTCAAGACAGTCATTTGTTGTGGTGAGCATGGAATTGTCGGTGAACAAAATTCAAATGAAGCGTATCACTGCAGATGACCTCACACAAACCAATCTTAAGAAGGAGCGATACACCTGTTCAAACAAAGACAAACGTTCAGGCCAATGTACCTAACAATGGATGGATAACATCCACCGCGCCCGCTACATAATGGGAGAGGACTGGTGGAGGATGGGTAGTGCCCCCCCCCCACCCCTCCACTGCAATTCCTCACTACCCAAGTGGTCAGTGGTATCACTACGATTGCCATCAATTGTAACGAAAACCTTGCAGACTTTCAAAACTTTGCTGTTGTCAGAAGATGTGAACGAGAACAAAAAGAAATCCTTTTTTTTTCAACGTACCATTTAAATTCAATATCCAAAGCAGAAACAGAGGCCGTTAGGGGGATTCTTCCGAGGACGAGTTTCTCAATGAGAACTGGCGCAAGTCACCATTCAAGTATGCATGAATGAGAAATGACAAGAGTGCGGGGGTGAAATTACGTCTCCCAAATCAGAGTGTGTCAGATGATGTTATCTCACGGGCTGAGAGCCACCACAGCACTAGGCCTTTCTTCTTCTTCCAAAGAGGGGAGGTTAAGTACTGTGGGAGGACAATTAATCTGGTTGCTACCTGTATAGCACAAAGATATCCCGCAGGTGTTCTTAACCCTCACTTCAAACGTTCAGTCACTGGCTTTTCACAATACAGTTTCACTTTTAATGTGCCTGTGGATACCCGAGTGTGTCGCAACATACTGTAGGTGGCCTTAGCTCAGAGGCGTAATGTCATTGTTGTCAGTTGTGATATAGTTGTGCAACATTCCCTCATACGGGTATGCTGATGATTTGATTTGATTTGATTTCTGAGGTCTGCTATCGAATAGCTACATTTCACAACGAAAACAGCTTCCCCGGTGATTAGCCTGCTCCAGAGCGACTTAGGTCTTATTACCAATAATTGTATGAGTCTGTAGAACTTAAGCTCAGTAGACCTACAGTGTATCATACATCAGCTGGAAGAGGAAAGCGCTACGGTACAGATAATAGATGGATGATTGAGTTGCAAATCCTTGCAATAACTGCATCAAGCCTGGGAACGATTATCATCACCGCCCCTTTTTTTTCTTCCTTTTTCGGGCTTTTATAGGAGCCTCTGTCAATTGTTGTCTCTTTTGGTGGCTTAGTCCCTCCGGTGTCCTCTTAAGCACGTAAAAATGCACTACAGCCAGCTCATGACCGGATCCTTTCTTTCTCTAAGACATCACTTTGGTAAAAGTTCATCTTTCAGTCCACATTCATCAAAAAATGTCCCAGAATTTGCACAAATTCCAACCAGGCCATTCCATTTTTCTTGCGAGTGAGTGGTTTGCACCTACAAGTGTACCATCTGTACTTTTGGTCATGGTCATGATTTTCTCCACCAGTTGTTTCAGGGTCTTTCTTCACAGCCCTCAAAACCTGTCTCGTCCACAACAGCTGTTGTTTGCTTGATGTGTGTTCCTGGAGAGCACCACTGATTTTTATTGCTTGTTTAGGGCATCCCAAATGGTTGCATTGCCAATGTTTGTGCAATTAGGTCTGACTGATTTTCCATCTTCTCTCAGTTTAACACTTGCTTGTTTTGCCACCCACAGACAGCGGTCCACTTTTTATGTTGGCTACACTTACGTTGAAAGAACTTTTTGTTGAATTTACTCAGATTTACTGAATCAACTGACTGCACAAAATTTTATCATCTGGATCCAGACACATTCTTTAACTTGACATATCGTCTTACTAGATGTTACTGAAAAAATATGTCTGGATCTAGATGATTTCATTTTGTGCACGTGGCCACTTGACCAAATAAAATTGGGAAAATTCAACACACCACATTTTTGAGTGAATAACCAGTATAAATGTAGTCTTCAGGAGGAAAAACTCAAATTTGAAACTGAAATTATTAATTTTTGAATAAACCTGCATAGCCAACAAATAGACCTGTCAGTGAGTCGGTCACACAGTATGTTTACGGTGCTTTTGCTCACTTCAAAAATGGGTGTGTTAAAAAAAAGGTGCTATTTTCAAAGGTTGATGATGATTCCGCAGCAAACATCTAGGAATGAAAGCTGAAATATCAAAGCCAAATGTTTTCCGTTTCCAGCAACAATCAAGGAATTGGCCTCACAGTTCCATTTGGAGAGTGGTGTACCGTCTTGGCATACATCAAACCGCACAATAATTTCTGTCTCCAAACCCAATAAAATCTATTCATATGCCAGTCTCGCCAATTTGTAGCACAGGACCCTGTGACCCCACACAGCAGAGAACACACTGGGAGAAGGAGCACAGTTGAGACAATTATGTTATGGACGCACACTATGAAAAAAAAAAACAAGAAACGTTGTGAGGATTAGCTAACCTAGTCCTACATGGACATAAAACACATTTTTTCAGTTGAGTTAGTCACCTATGAACACAGTGCCATCTTCTGGAGTTTGCCACCTTCCCACCGTGACAGCAAAAATCAATAACTGAGAATACCATAATCATATTCCTCCATTTTCTGCTCCACTAATCCTCACATGGGTCACTGGGAGTGCTGAAGCCTAACCCAGCTGTCTTCGGGCAGTAGGCGGGGAACACCCTAAACAGGTTGACAGCCAATTGCAGGGCACACAGATAGACAAACAACCACGAGCGCTCACTCTCACACTTTGGGGCAATTTCAAGTGTTCCATTAATCTACCATGCACGTTTTTGGAATGTGGGAGGAAATGACATGCAAACTCCACACAGGAAGGCCACATTCAGAAAAAGGACACAGACTGGTGAGCCCGTTGGCCTCTCAGTTGCAGAGGTGCGGGGTTCAATTCCAGCTCCGGCATTCCTCTGTGGAGTTTGCATGTTCTCCCCGTGACTGCGTGGGCTTTCTCCGGGTACTCTGTTTCCTCCCACATTCCCAAAAAAAACATGCGTGGTCGGTCGACTGGAACACTAAATTTTCTCTCGGTGTGAGTGTGAGCCGTGCGATTGGCTGACAACCAATTCAGGGTGTAGGCTACAGCAGGCCCGCGACCCTTATGAGGACAAGTGGATGAGAAAATATGTGTGTGTGTGGGGGGGGGGGGAGACGTGTTCTGAGGTTAACTTTATAAATACAGTATATTGAAGATTTGACTTAGTTGTCATTTGAAATGTATTTGTTCCATATGAGCCCCCCTGTACCTAATGTGAAACACTGGGAGATGAAAGCGATTGTACTGGACCCTTCTTCTCACCTGAGATTGTCGTTGTGCAGGGTACTTTTGATGACAGAGAAATATCTCGTCTATTTGCGACATGCATTTAAAGGAAGCCTTGTGTGTGTTTAATCACAAAGAACAAAGAACACTGTCTAGAGGGGCCAGGGGCCACAGTGATTTGTGTGGGCCCTCTCTTACGCTCACGTCTGACCGTTTATCCACTGAGGAAGCTGTTGTCTTAAGTCACTTGAATTACCCTGAAGATGAAAGTATCAAACAACATAGAGAGAGGTGCGTGAATGGTTCGGTTTAGTAGGCCTACTTCCAATCAAATTTTAGAATGCAGGTAAAATACCGAATTTGGCATCTATTTAATCATCGTCAATAAATATAGTTCGATTGAGAGTGAGCTTGCAATTATATTTTTCTTCGAATTCCTGCATCTTAATCAGGGTCTTTAAATTGTCCGCTATTTTGAGTTGCAGACCCTAGTGACAGAAATCAGTGCAAAGCGTTGCCAGGAGTAGACTTGTTGCTCAGCCGTGTCCCTCCCGGTTCCCTCCCTCCCTCCCCCTCGCCTCTCTCTCCCCTCGCCTCCCCTCCCTTAATAAAAAAAAAAAGAAAAAAGGCGAGGGCGCTCCCTGTCTCGGAAGTTGAGCTCGCTCACATTTTCACGCGCAAGTTTCTTCCAGCACGGCAGCTCTGCAGTTATCGGGATCAAGGTTGGTGGAAACAGCCCATGCACCGCGAGATATGTCGCGTTTTGCGACGGGATTCGAACAGCAATGCGGGGAAGTACTGTACTGTACCACCCTGTTAAATTCCATGTCGTTATTGCATGCTTGCTTCTGAAGTTGTTATTAGCGCTCAAAGGTTCTCTGCATCACAGTCTGCGCGGTATGTAACATTTTCTTATCATAGAGTTTCCTTCCATATATGCATTTAAATGATCTTATTACCCGTCGTGTAAAATTCCCTGCCTGCATTTTCAAAAAAATGAACATCGTGCGATACATGTTTGGGCATATGAAAAGTCAAAACAAGGTTTGCACGTGAGGTTGTGAGCGTGTCCCCACGTGCACGCGCGCTGGATCTACCGCGGGGTTAAGGTTCAGCTTTTGGCCCCGCAGGACGGCAGAGAAAAAACACGCTACCCACAATTTGACGTTCATTTCACCTGATTATCCCCCAAAAAATTAAGAGCTTTGAATACGCAATGCAGCGGGTGTTTTTTTTTAGATCTTCTTTCACCACAGTAAAGGGCCACGTGCCTTTTGAAGGCAGGAGATCTGCTAAAATAATCTTGTACCCGCTGTGCACAAAGACATCATTGATTCCCTAAATGGTCCTGCAGCAGGGCACTTTGTATGTTCCACAGTGGCTGAACGTAGTGAAACAGATGTTACATATTGACATGAAAATCCTTTTACATGGATACATACTGTCACGAGAGGTTCGGATTTTTGAGCCCTCGTTAAATTCACCACATTCCCACTTGTTGTCTAAAAAAAAAAAAACAAAAAACTGCACTGTATGTCGTGTGTGCCGTGGCGTTTAAAAACTCGGAGTTCTTCCAGAATCTCCATGCTTCCATATCAATGGACATGGCTGTTTCGGACACTTGTCACAACTATCTGTTACGTCTTATACGGCCACCAGGAACTTGTGAAATGAGACCGTTGAAAACATTTGCGGCAGGAATATCGACAGCTATGACCAAATGTGTATTTTATGATGCACATCTCTTCAAATGAGGTGTCACAGGTGTCTTGTGTAGCCCACGCAACGACCAGCAGCTGGTCTTCAGAAGGCACTCGGATTTTTAGTCACAACACCTTTGCTCACTTTCTAAACGTGCTCCTTGCCTACCTGTAGAGCAGTGGTCCCCAACCTTTTTGTATCACGGACCAGTTGAGACACATGCTCTTTGCAAACTGGTAATCTTATTTTTTTTTTTCATTGCTTTTCTATTGCCAGTTTTAAAGCACACATTTTTAAGTTATGATTCAACATATGGCTTTAGCATCATTGCTACTTGTAATGTGACTGCTCAAAAGAGGACACGATCGATTGCTGCTTTCATCCAGTGGTTGCCGGCTAGTTATTTGCGAGCAAACTGTTTACGCAGGCAGGCTGTGCAAATTCTGCTCGTATTTTCATGTTTTCCGCTTGATCACTTGGGTGCTACTTGTTCAAATTATTCAACAGGTTTTTCTCGTATTGCCTTGTTTTTGTCGACATACCATGCACAACAGCTTCCTCCTCCATGTCGATCTGGAAATACCGCTAGTGGAAGAACTTCTCTTGCCAAAATAGTTTCGGCTTCGGAAATCATGGCTAGCCAGCAGCTGCGCGTCCAGGTGTACGTTTGTTCAATTTGTTGCGATTATTTTCTGTTTACTGCTTTTTCTTTCATTTATTGGCGGATTCTGATTATTTCAATTTGCAAACGAATGTTAGAAGGGGCACTCGGCTCGGCAAGAGTCGCACACATTTCCGTCACATCTGAGGGCGTAAATTTGCTCACAACTCGCAGGTGTGTCTCTGCGCGGCCGGTCCCAAATGGGTCTTGGCCCGAAACCGGTCCGCAGACCGGTGGTTGGGCTGTCGACAATCCACATATGAAAACATCTCAGATAGCAAATGCAAGTATATATTGCTCAGAGAGTTCAGGACTTAGAACATGTCTTGATGTGTGTGTGCTGGCCTTTTTTGGTGAACGTTTATTGAAGCAATTTAAGAGCTGAGATGTTGCAGGGAGAAGCCAGCCCAATGATTTGTTGCGTCCTAAATGTTTATGTTTTTCTTCTGTTTTACAAGCGGCGATGATTTTTGCTGTGTTATTGTCATACATATATCCCCTTGAGGCGTACCTTTTGTCTGACTTTCACATGCGTTCAAATATAAACTACGGCTTGTAATCCCCACGGTACAAAAATGTAGGCTTAGAGAAAATATTTGACAGCCTCTTAAAGTTCATGATTGTGTCAAAATAATGTTTTGGGGGGGCTATTAATATGTCCCAATTTTTCACTTCTACAGGTCAATTGAAACACGTTGGGTTTTGTCTGGAATCCACCTGGAAAACCAAGCTTGACTTCTACCTATACACACAATATGAATGCACAGAGATTTGTTTTGTGTTTGTGTTGGGTGCTGCTGTGCACTCACACATGCCTTAGCCAGAAGGACTGCACAGCTGTGGACTGCCCACTTCTGCAGAACTGCATTGAAACCGTCCTAGATGCAGATGCCTGCTGTCCCACCTGTAGACAAAGAGGCTGTTCCTGTGAAGGTTACCAGTACTACGACTGCGTCCAAGCGGGCTTCCGCAAAGGGAAAGTCCCAGAAGGGGAATCTTACTTGGTGGATTTCGGAAGCACCGAATGTGCTTGTCCTCAGGGAGGAGGGGCGATAAGTTGCCATTTTATGGAGTGCCCCGAAATTTCCCCTAACTGCATTGATATTTTACAACCTGCAGATGGATGCCCGCAGTGTAATCAAATTGGTTGTACCCATGGCAATAAGAAGTTTGAAGCAGGACACACCTTTCAGATAGACCAGTGTCAGGTTTGCCACTGTCCAGATGAGGGGGGCAAGCTCATGTGCTCGCATGTTCCTGGTTGTGACCTCCAAAGTGTTAATAAGCCCACACAGGTTGCAACCCCCGAGAACAGCAAAGCCTTGAAAGACCCTTACAGCCGTGCCTCTGGAACCAAGTTAGTGCTGGGAAAAACTCTCCCACTGTATAAGCCAGATCCACCCAGTTTTGGCACCGAAGACTATGACGACTCACAGACTGAGCCGACATCTTCCCCGAGCCAAAATCTGGCGCAACCAACGACAGTTCCACTCGCTTACCCTGCATCGAGCTCCACCTCAAATGATGACACAAGTGGCGTTCTGAGGGATCCACAAAAAATATTGGACCCGGAAAAAAGCGTTGAGGAGGTTGTCACGCGGACCCAGCATCCAACCATCACGACGACTCTCAAATCAACATCAGCGACAACACAGAAAGTGAGATCACAGCAAGAAAGTGAAGGAAACACCACTACAAGACCGGTGGCAAACAACACGGATCAGAGGCATTTTAGCCTCCACAAAGAGAGTCAAGTTAGCCTTGTCAGGAATGATGACATAGTGCGTTCTGGCAGCCTTAATGAACAAGAACGAGCCTCAATGGAGCACGGGCAAAGTCCTGATGAGGAGGATCGGGGCTTGCAGACCACGTTCCAGCTCCAGCCCACCAGAATGACTCCTGTCAGGATGAGGGAGGATGGAGAGCAGCCCCAAAGACAAACTCAAAACCTCTCCAACTACCAACATCAGCATGTAAACAGAGAGATAGAAGGTAAGTCTTGTTTTCCCTTTTCTCTTTGTCTGTTGAAGAATATGACATGTCGATAAATGACCTATGTGCAAAATACAATGTGGCCATTTTGAGCACCAGCAAGGACAATGTGGGGTTGCAACTATTGTGACATATTCATGTGGCACATGCGTTGTCTCACATCCTGTCTTTTAAGGGCGAATTCATAATCACTCTGTTCAAACTGGTTGTGATCTAAGAAAAGCCAAACAATTGTGCATGGAAAGTGTGTTTGCCTCAGATAGCATTTATCTACTGATGGCTGAAGTGGAAAAAGATTTAGGTGGTGATTGAAGATGAATTACACTCATGAGTAGGGATGGGAATCAAAAATGGGTTCTTTTTGTCAACCAGTTCTCAGCATAGTGGCCCCTGCTATTTGTTGGGGATCGGGACTGTGCGAATAGCAAAGGTCCACGTGTCATAGACCAGTGGTCCCCAACCTGTTTTTCTTCACGGACCGGTTGAGACCAGTAAATGCTATTCGCGGAACGGCAACTTTTTTTTTTTTTTTTTTAAATTGACGGTTTTAAAGCACTGCTACTGACGACAAAGATAGTGATAGACTAACTTAACACAACAATTTTTTTTTCATTCGTTTCAAACACTGTTATTCTACTGTACAACAAATGTCGGATAAAATAAAATAACACATTGAACTACTAAGAAATGGACCAATCAGGAACCATAATTATGCCTTATAATGTAAACATAATAATTTTTAAGTTACGATCCTACATGCGGCGTTAGCATCATTGCAATTTACAAAAGATGACACGATGGATTGCTGTTTTCATCCGGGGGCTGCCGTCCAGTTACGAGCGACTAAACTGCTAATGTTTATGTGGGCAGCCTGTGCAAAAACTCTGCTTGCATTTTTCATGCTTTCTACTTGATCACTTGATGCTACACACCAGCTTCCTCCTCCACGTCACTCTGGAGATACCGCCAGGAGAGGAACTTCACTTGTCAAAATAGCTTCATCTTCGGTAAACATGGCTGCCCAGCAGCTGCGGCTTTAGGTGTTGTTGTTACGACTACTTTCTGTTTACTGCTTCTTGTTTCATTTATTGGCGGATTCAAATAATTTCAATTTTCAAATCAATGTTAGAAAGGGGACTCCGACTGGCTTGAGTCGCGCACATTTCCGGCATGTCTGATGGCTTAAATATGCTCACGGTTCACAGGTCAGTCTC